AATAATCAGAGTACCTTTATAGTTGTAATCACATAAGTATTTACATAGGTAGCCTTACCCAATTCTAAAACTTACCACGTATACATAGCGCTTATGCCCACTTCAGCTTTGCCCTCAGCTAACATGCCCAAAGTGGCCTCTCCAGTCATATTCCTGTAAGCAATACCCCAGTCGTCGACATCCGCTGGAAAGGAAAATAAATTTCGCCTTTTTTTATTGCTGCATCCCTCTGATTGTCTCAATTAAACATCCCTGCAGAAAATCGAGAACTTGGTGCTATGGGTGTTATTTTGAAAGTTCTATTTTTAAATGTGACTGATGAATATTATGGTAGTATAGAAAGGAGTAAATCGACGTTCTTTATGACGGTTGCATGTTGAATTCGTTTAGTACAGGAATGTAAGCAGATTTAATAAGACAGTTGAATTTTCAAAGGGAATGCGATATGTAATGAGTTAACCTGATCGAAGTAATCAGTCTGGCCTCCTGACTAACCCGTAACGTATTTAACAGAACCCAGCGTAGATCATCGCCGGCCGTTTGCTTGCGGAGAGTGGGAAAATTCAAGATTCTTGTATGCGCTTGGAGTTGCTCTCTTCCGCTTAATAAAGAGCTTAATCGCAGATTAACTCTACATAATTAAGTCGGAAATGAAAAACGAAGAAATTGAGATGCCACTCCCTAACTTTATTTTCGTACTACTGCCCATTTGCCCCATTTCAATAAATTTCGCCATATTTAATCGGTCGTAAGTTAGAATCACCCTTTGCAGAGTCACAGAGTATATTTTCTTGTGACCTGAGTTGTGAGTTGAATTCAGTTTCTCAATGTTCTCAAGGACTAAGTCTCCTCAAGTCTTGGCAAAAGAAAATAATTAAACGACTCGTGATTTTTCGGATTTTTCGAGACTTCGAGATTTTCTAAAAAAATTTTTCCAGATTTTACGGGTTGTTCAATAGGGTTTTAAAACATTCCATGATTTCCACATTTTGCGGGAACCTTTCGAAAATTTTTGAGATTTTTTAAGTTTATCTCGACCACTTTAGCCTTTATTTTGTTTGTACGAAATTCTAAAATTGAAAAGGCAAAATTACGCTTTATAGCATAAAAAGTTTAAACTGTTTCCTTTTTTACTTAACAAGTCTTTAGTTTACTATGTTTTCTATTTTTTGGCTTTGATTGAAAAAGTTTAGCGCTGGTGTTGACAAATAAACTGCACTTTTTAACGACAGAATTTATGTTTTTAGGTCAAACACTGCATTGACTTTTTGTAATAAACCAAAATTATTTTAAATTACATTGTCGAATTTCAAAATAGCAGTTTGCCTTTCACACTTGCTATACCAAACGACTCTACCCATGGGCCTAAATTACTAAATAAATTTTATGTAGTTGATACACTTACATTTATCAATATCGATCGAACAGTTATACATTTCGCAAAATGTCTTCAATATTCTGGCCTCCGTGCCATCGATTTTGACATCGCCATTAGTATCGTTAGGTGCAAAAGCTCTGTCATGCGAAGGTGCGCCAGGATACTTAATAAATAACGAATAAAAAAAATATCAAATGAAACCGCAAAATCTTCAAAAATAATTTCATATTAAAGAGATAAGCTAATTTTCTCTTACATATTCCAAAATAACATCCGGCCGATAGTCGAAAGCTGCTAAAATCACTTCACGTCCTTGCAGATTTTTCAACTTATCCGGGAAGAGATTGCTGCCTTGTAGGAAATTGTTGCCAGAGGCATTGAAGCGATCAAGCGAATAAATTTCTTTAGGGTTCTCAGCTCTTGGACCGACAAATTTATTTGTTTTCAAATGGAAAATTTCGGCACTCGCATTAGATCGCTCAATAAGAAGTATGGCGGATTGATCTGCGGTGTATGAAGGAAAATATTCGCTTAGATTAAGAAATGGGCGGAATGACATAAATGTCGCGTGCATATGCATGTTTCAGTCGTTTTCTTTTGACTAACACACAACCAATACTCACCTTCAAAAAATCGATGCCGAAAGACAACTTCTTGTAGTGCATTCTCATTGTAGACGAATACAAATTTATTGCTTAATGAACGCCAAATTGAATAGCGACTGGCATTTATAATCGCTTCAATGAAAATTGGTATATCCATTTGAAAGGCAATGAAACTCTGGAATGGAAGAGGTACAAAAAAACAAAAGCTTTACTCTTCTTTAGCTAATCGCAAAACAAAAAACCCACCTCACAATGTGACTTTTCTATTGACAAAGTCAACTTTTCCACAAATGGATTCAATGTCACATAATCATTGAGTAGCTCTTCACGTTTGGCTGCAAAATTCACAACATCTTCAACAAAAGATTCCTCCAAATCACGCAAGCGGATGTTTATGATTGCACCGGCTGTTGGATTGGCATTCTCCCAGTTGATTGAAAAGTTTTCATTCTCAGACCAAATAATGCAAGTTGTGGTGGACGATAGATAGTTTTGCACTGCGGAACAATATGTAAATATTTAAAGTGAGTAATTTTTAAAGCAAATTTGTTTTTAAATTACAACACAGCAAAATCACTAACTTAACACATTGAACATTCTGGTCCAATACAAGCTGAGTAGATATTTTTCCGGCAACATTTTTGTTTAAAAAAAATTGTCACGAAAACTTTAAAATTTCTTCTACGGCTCTAGCAGAACTGCTTTTTATAGGCATCCTGGCTGGTATTATAAGTAAGCAAAGTTATAAATGTTGCGAAATCGAGTGTGTTTACGAAACAATTATTTTGCCTGCATACGGCAAGTTAATAAAGTTGTTAGCAATTTTGATAGTTGCCAAATTGCCAAGCAAATAGCGTAAAAGTGGTTTGAAATGGTTGTTAAATAATTCACAGTTCTTCCTATTTCAACATTTAAATGTAGACGCTTGACAACAAAAAATTTCGTAATAATACGGGTATATGCGCAGTTACAAACATACAGTTGCCTATTTGTGTGTTTAAATAGTTTAAAGGAATCCCTGCAATAAATGCTACAAGTTCTGAATTAGCTTACTACAAATTTTCTTTGTAGCTGACTAGTTGGAAATGTCACATGTCGATGGCCCCGAGCCATTTAATCTCAACAGGTCGATAGCCATAGTGATACTTTCGGTTCGATATCGTGTCCCTAGTCTTTACTTGTCTTTGTTGTGCTCAAAATTTTTTTTCTTCTTTTTTTACTTCAACTTGACACCAGAGGTTCTTTCTCCATTTTTTTTTTACATTTTCGTTTATATTTTAAATAACACTGCGAATTTGTTATCTTTTTAACGCGATGAGTTTGCTTGGTAGATAAAATGAATTAAAATAAAATCGTAGAAATGTAAACATATATACATATATATATGAACCAATGTATGGTTGCACATGGCGGCACTGGTTGGTTTTTACTTTTGATAAGTGAATTTACATACTGACTTTCTGTTCAACTTGCTTATTCATTCAAAATTTGAGGATTCACATTTCAGCAGTTTTAGTAAACGAATTTTTCGTCGTGAGATAATCAAATAACTGAGTGAAAAGTAAAATCAGTAGCAGAAATACATATGTATATAGAATGAATTCAAAGCAATTTGTGGGATGTAGTTCTCAGGTAATGTGTAACGCTAAACTCAATACATATATGTATGTACATTAAGGAGTATCACTCTCCATCCAAAAAAAAAAAAAATCGGTACTGTTTTTCCGTCGTAATTATGAAATCTTTTATGTTTTGAAACTTCCGCCAAATTGTTTCAGAGAAATATTATAATTTAATTTCAAAATACCTCAAAAAATTATAAATAAAATGTATTTTT